ATCATTACCAAGACTTGATTTGATAATATTGAATAAATTGAGCATTGGGTAGATTGTTATAAATAAATTATATATTTGTAATATCCCAATGAGTAGAAAAATTAGATTTTCTGACGTTTCGTGACTCAGTGTAAGCCACTTCTTCAAAGAATAAATAACCAAATTAATATTAATCCAAGTTTAAATAGTACAACGGAACAATCAAAGAATATTAGGTGATCAATCAAAAACAGGTCTGAATAAATCACTGTCACGTCATTTCATTTCGGTCAAGGTGATTCATAAGCGATATGGATGTAATTTTGTGTGTATGTATGCACTGTTAATAATGAAAACTGTGTGACCTTTATAATTACAAAGGATAGAGTTTGATTTGTAATGTAATGGTGTGAAATTGTAAATAATATCAGACTGAGTGACTAGGATAGATGGTCCAAGTAGGTTGTATGGTAAGGCCTTCCTTTCTATTGAGAGCTGTGGGATTAAGCATTATATGGAAAGCTTCAGCTACTCTTCTTTCTTTGTAGTTAGAAAAACCTTTCTGTAGTATTTTGATATTTTTGAAATCAATTTGATGACTGTTGAAAATGGCGTGAACTGCTATTGCCGATTTAATCTGAAGTCTATCTAATTCTACAGGATTATTAGGCGGTTTCTTTGTGTACTTGATATGTTCTTTAGCGCGAGTTAAGATTTCGCGAGATGACTCTCCAATATAGAAGGCATCACAATCGACACAACCTAATTTGTAGACGCAGTTCTGTGTAGACATGAATGGTATTTTTTCTTTTAATCGAACTAAAGTATTTCGAAGTGTGTTAGTTGTTTTGTAATATACTTTAATTCTGTGTTGTCTTAATATCCGTTGGAGTTCTTCAGTTGTGCCATGACGGTATGGTAAGACTGCAGTACCAATCCATGGCATTTCATTCGAATTATTATTATTATTGTGTATTGAATTGTCTTGTTTTAATATACTTCTAATAATCTTCATAGGAAAATTATTAAATTGTAAGATGCTAATTATATTCTTTTGTTCTTTTTGTTTGTCCTCTTCTGAAGAGATGATCTTGTTGGCTCTTCTAACAAGATTTAAGGCTAACGAAATTTTAGCACTGAAAGGATGTGCTGAATGGAAGTCGATGTAACGATTGGAGTGTGAGGGCTTTCGGTAGATGGATAAATTTAGAACTCCATTTATATTTCTTTTCACTAAGCAATCTAAGAACGGTAGCTCTCCATGTTCATTTTCATTCTCATTCGTGAATTTGATGTGAGATGAAAGTGTATTTAACAGTTTTGAAAACGATCTCAGATGCGTCTTTTTTTACGAGAACGTATTCACAAATGTACATATTTACTTGAAAAATATCGGGAACGAATCAAAAACCTAGATGATCTACTGAAGGTTTTGATTCCTACAGATTTACAAACCGCGATTTTTAACCTATTCATAGAAAGAGAACGCCACTATTTAGATTCATCAAAACGCCGACAAATTAAAAAATTTGAAAAGATCAAAGAAAGGAAGAAAGATAAGAAAACGTCAGCAATAAAATCTCATCCGAATGATCTAAGAATCGTTCATAATTTGTCTGACAGAAACTTAACGAATCATGAAATCATCCTACTGGAGAAAGGATTAAATTTCAATTTACATAGAAAACCACTTAGCACCCTTGAAGTTGCTCCAATTTTAGAGCCAATAATCGCAACACTACCAGAAAAAGAATCGCATTTATTACGTCAAAATACTTCCCTTATCTTGACTAAACAACAACACCTTACACCAAACATCTCAAAAGAAGAATACAAGGCCCTACATTCGCTTAAAAAGGACAAAACGATCATAATCACGAAAGCAGACAAAGGTAACACAACAGTAGTCATGAATAGAATAGATTATGTTAATAAAGCTCTTGAACATCTTGCAACAGGACCTTATGAAAAGATCAATCAATCAAATTCGCAAACGATGAAAATAAAGTCAAATCAGATACAAGTGCACTTTTGAAAGAGCTAAAACCAGTCATTGGGGCTTCGCTTTGGTTTGCTTTGTATCCCAAATCATGTAATACTTCATGGTTTTATGGTTTACCGAAAATTCACAAACCAGATATTCCTCTAAGACCGATAGTAGATTTTACCAACACACCGACATATGCTTTATCTAAATATCTAAGCAACATATTAAAACCACTACAGCTTAACGTACATAATATGATTAAAGATACATATGACTTTAAATCAAAATTATCGGATTTAATTATTGAAAAGAATGAAGTCATGGTAAGCTTTGATGTTGTATCTTTATATACTAGTATTCCGATTGATATATGCTTAGAATTCATTAGTGGCTTACTAGAGAATGACATTACTCTATCGGACAGATGTCCTTTAAGCATCAGTTTAATCATGAGATCGTTAAAACTCTGCTTAAATTCAACTCTATTCACCTTCAACGGAACGTTATATAGACAAACAAATGGTGTAGCAATGGGTTCTCCCGTGTCCCCGATTGTGGCCAATCTTTTTATGACACACATAGAATCAAAGATTTTCTCCAACGAAATTAAACCACGAATTTGGCTCAGATATGTAGATGACACATTTGTAGTAATAAAAAAGACGCATCTGAGATCGTTTTCAAAACTGTTAAATACACTTTCATCTCACATCAAATTCACGAATGAGAATGAAAATGAACATGGAGAGCTACCGTTCTTAGATTGCTTAGTGAAAAGAAATATAAATGGAGTTCTAAATTTATCCATCTACCGAAAGCCCTCACACTCCAATCGTTACATCGACTTCCATTCAGCACATCCTTTCAGTGCTAAAATTTCGTTAGCCTTAAATCTTGTTAGAAGAGCCAACAAGATCATCTCTTCAGAAGAGGACAAACAAAAAGAACAAAAGAATATAATTAGCATCTTACAATTTAATAATTTTCCTATGAAGATTATTAGAAGTATATTAAAACAAGACAATTCAATACACAATAATAATAATAATTCGAATGAAATGCCATGGATTGGTACTGCAGTCTTACCATACCGTCATGGCACAACTGAAGAACTCCAACGGATATTAAGACAACACAGAATTAAAGTATATTACAAAACAACTAACACACTTCGAAATACTTTAGTTCGATTAAAAGAAAAAATACCATTCATGTCTACACAGAACTGCGTCTACAAATTAGGTTGTGTCGATTGTGATGCCTTCTATATTGGAGAGTCATCTCGCGAAATCTTAACTCGCGCTAAAGAACATATCAAGTACACAAAGAAACCGCCTAATAATCCTGTAGAATTAGATAGACTTCAGATTAAATCGGCAATAGCAGTTCACGCCATTTTCAACAGTCATCAAATTGATTTCAAAAATATCAAAATACTACAGAAAGGTTTTTCTAACTACAAAGAAAGAAGAGTAGCTGAAGCTTTCCATATAATGCTTAATCCCACAGCTCTCAATAGAAAGGAAGGCCTTACCATACAACCTACTTGGACCATCTATCCTAGTCACTCAGTCTGATATTATTTACAATTTCACACCATTACATTACAAATCAAACTCTATCCTTTGTAATTATAAAGGTCACACAGTTTTCATTATTAACAGTGCATACATACACACAAAATTACATCCATATCGCTTATGAATCACCTTGACCGAAATGAAATGACGTGACAGTGATTTATTCAGACCTGTTTTTGATTGATCACCTAATATTCTTTGATTGTTCCGTTGTACTATTTAAACTTGGATTAATATTAATTTGGTTATTTATTCTTTGAAGAAGTGGCTTACACTGAGTCACGAAACGTCAGAAAATCTAATTTTTCTACTCATTGGGATATTACAAATATATAATTTATTTACAATATCTATTAAGTTAGTGAATATGCACGATTAAGGATAATTGTTCTTATTTGAATGAGGAATAATTTATCCATCTCAATTAGTTTCTTCTTTTCCAAACGATAGTTCACAATAGTAACATGAATAGTTCTTGATTTACTGTTATATTCTATCTTTATTTGGTCTAATGAAGTTAAATTATAATTGAATTTATCATAATAATCAATATTCTTAGCCTTAAAATAGGTAAATTGAGGTCAGACAAGTTAAATGCTGGGTTAGTCTTTTCTGAAGTAAACATATTATTCTGTGACAACAGTATATATAAAACATATGTATCATTAGAATTCCTTTTCTACGGTTAAAATGTCTGATAATGATATGATAAAATTTTGGATGTATTATTTAGTTGACGTGATTAAACTAACTAGGTTTGTTATTTCATACTTGGACAATAAACTACTTCTGGATATCTAATGTTCACTGTATACGTCAATTAAGTTTAATAGATAGATTATCTAAAGCATAATGTTGATTATTTGACAATAAAAAAGAAGCAACGTGATATAATGTGTTTTCAAAATATTGCTGATAGTTACTTACAAATGGATTATTTTAAATCATAGTTGAAATCATGAGTCAATTGAAGCTAGACCACCATGGAAAACCTGGAAGCACTGGAAGGCCATTTCGTCCTATTATGGGACTCCTCATCAGTGCACATCCACGATACCGCACTCACGAGATTAGAACCCAGGACCTACCAGTCTCGCGCCGGAACACTTAACTGATAGACCACTGATCCGGCATCCAATGGTGTTAATGTCTAACTTCAATCAATCCACGATGTTTGAGAAACCGTTCATCAATTGTCTTCAGTGAGTTGATATTTCTACAACAGATTTGGTTGAACTCCATTGGTCACTGCTTCTCACTAGAACTCAAGGAAACAATCCTTGGTCTAGCTCCAATTGACCCATGATTTCAATTATGAAAATACTAAAATCTCTGCAAAACCCCTTCTGATGTATTTTAAATCAGTCTAAATAACTACAGAATAATGGAAATAAATTTACGTTTGTCTGTTGTCACTTTTCTTTATTCAAATATTTATTTTGTTTTATCTATAGGAACTAATCAGATTGTTCGATATCAATGGTGATGGCATGATAAGTTTTGGTGAATATAAATTGATATTGGGATTAACAGGTCAATCAGTCGATGCGTAAGTCAAATGACTATCTAAAACTGTAATCGTTCTGATGCTATATATATAGTCCCGGATATTTTCTTTTCTTTTGAACGCTGACAATGATGTTGACTAATATAAACTTAAGTCATTAAGTTATGACAACACGGTTACAGTGACTTCAATCAACTTTTTAAAAAAAAAATTACATAGAAACCGATATCTTATTGGTTAATATTACCTAACTGACTGATTATAGAATTTAATTTAATACTTTAAGAAATAATTTACTTAAAAAATAATAAGGATTTATCGAAATTATTTTACTTGTAACCATTGAATTTGCTTTCAGATTGAAACTATCACTAGTCTAAAGGTTAACTAAATGACTTATTTTATTAAACAATGTCGATGTTTCTAAGGATTCCTGTGTATTGCTTCCAGCCTTTTCTCAAAAAAATATAGTACATAACTTTATGCAATTACTAGTATTATAGTTAGTGTTTCACGTAGACTGATAAAATTTCGTAAATAATATTCATTTCAGAGCTACTGAATATTAAAACACAAAGAAATAATTATGACTGTTTTATCTTAGCCTAAACATTATCATGTTTGGGAAATGATCTAACAGTTGAACATGAAAAAGATAATGCCCTTATAGTGTTATTTACAATTCATTGAATATCCAACACAAAGTATATCATTACATTCATCTTGTTGTGCTAACGAGATATGGCAACTTGGACCGATGCATATATATGCCTGGTCCTACGTTGTAGCTGACTGACATATTATTACATTAACTTGATTCACGATATTTAGAACTGTTTTAATAGGTCTTTGAGTTAAGAAATTATATTTATTAAAATAACTGATCTTGTGAACACACCATAATTTTATGAAGAATCATGATCGTTGAATGACAAGTCGAATGACACGTGATCATAACCTTAAATGTTAGATAACAGTACAATTATAGATGAATATATCTTTAGTCATATTTCTACAGATATCTGGTAAAAATGGTAAAGCCAAATAGCAATTCAGAAGTATGAATCTTGATAATAAATTTACACACAATGTCACAAGACTAAATATGAAGTTACGCAAGCAGTCATTAAGTAGACACCGTCAAACAACTCAAGTATATTTAAAGTAGACTAGTACACTGACTAAATGTAGGCTTACAAATAGTTTTTAAGAAGGGAATTGTTCATGAAAAACTGAAATTTTAGAAAAATGTGTCAGTCTGCTAATCACATTAGCAAAAGTGATGTTTTTTAAATTGAAAGAGCTCATGTGTTTGACAAGTATATGATATCTAAATGGCAACAAATAACTGAATTTGTAGAAGTCGTCAAATTCATCAGTTTGGCTGTTTTTTTGTCGAACTACAATTTAATAACTTAATACGAATCACAGACTCATTTCAAGCTGAACAAGAAAGAAAATGATCTGCAGAGTATCAAAAAAATATTTCTTCTAGGCTTCAAATAAACTACACATAGACTGAAGTAACATAGAATAATTTGACCGGAAGCATTGGTTTGCATAGCTTACTTAGTGATTTATGGTTGAATATAATAAATAAAGCACCTTAGGGATATCCACTGAATTTTACTATTTATTAAGTATCTTGAACTCACGTTTTAGCAAGTGTAATCCCCTTTAATTCATAGATATTTAGCAGCAGATTCAGATTAAAACCATTCAACAAAGAATAAAACAGTAATAATATCTGAAATGTTTCAGGTAGTCTGTGACTTGAAAAAAAGATAAATCACTTTAAATTTGGTGTATTTATTTCTGCTAGTCAAAGTAAAGAACGTTCGAGGTTTGTTACAATTTTATGATTCTCAAATATATCTATAATATTCTCAATTGTTACTGGTGATTAAACATTGGATCATTTACCTCATCAGGATATCTTTTTCAATATATTTTATGGGATAACGTTAGTTTCAAGCAACCATTTATGATCATATATAATACCATGTTTCAGTGCAAATATTGAAGAGAATCTATGAAAAATGATAAATTTTCAGTACTGTATCTTATTCAATGTACTTGTTTAATTCCAAGTCATAAATTGGTATCAAACGCAAAACATAACAATATCGATTAACTTCATTTACTTAATGCATAAACTATAAATACAGATTGACGGAAACCAGTCAAATATATATTTTATTCATTTTAGTTGGACACGTCTATTTCGAAAGTTGGATAAAGATGGTTCAGGTACTTTGGATTTTCATGAGATTTGTTCACTATTTGGTGGGGATAATTCTTCTGAGGTTAGAAGATCTGTTCGAAATTACATGAAACGATATGATACCGATCGAGATGGACGACTTAATATTAGAGAATTTCTAACATTTGTTGCTGATCAAGCTGAACATAGTGCAGTATAATTAACAAACAGAAAAAAACTTATTTACTATAAAACAGAGATCACATTTGTACGAAAATATTGATAACTCCCCTTTAATGTAAACAAATAAATGATCACTACAATCAAAAATAAAATAAGTAATACGTTTTGCTTATTTTCTACTAAATCGGTTAAAAGTATACAAATTCCCGGTTAAATACTTACTGGAAATTTCAATACTCATTCTTTTCAGAAATCAATTAAATTTATTTCAATGCATTAGAATTTACGTAAGTGAATATACATGATGTCCGAATAGCTCATTTTCAAATCTATCCTTCATTCAAACCTTATCTGTATAATGTCTATTTTAAGTTGAAATATACTTACTTACGCCTGCTACTCCGAGTGACGGAGCATTGGCCGCCCATCAGTATTTTCCAACCAATTTTGTTATGACCAAATCTTTCCTGTTGTTTCCAATTGCTGTTCATTCTTTTGATGTCTCCTCCCGATTCCCTTTAGTTTTTCTCTTCTCCATTTCCTTCAGCATTCCAAGTAAGCGCTTGTCTCATGATGCAGTTTGATGATTTTCACAATATGTATACTATCCGTCCTCACCGCAGATTGGTGTTCATGACATCTGGCCAGCGGATACTGGGTATCTTGTGTAGACAAATGTTTAGAAATACTTGTACTTTGTTGATGATGGTTGACATGGTTTTTCATGTTTTACCTCCAATCAGTAGAATTGACTTGACGTTCCTATTGAAGATTGTGACTTTGATAATGGTTGACAGTTGTTGTGAGTTTCATATGTTCTTCAATTGTAAGAGTGCTGCCGTTGATTTGCCAATCCTTACACTTACATCTGCATCAGATCCTCCTTGTTTATCAATGATGCTTCCCAGATAGGTAAATGTTTTCACTGTTGTGGAGTTTCTCCATCACGTGTGATTGTGTTGGTGTTCACCTAGTTGTAGTTTAGAATCCAGCTTGTCGGCTTTAATGCTCCAGTTCGCCCTCCTTGATTCCGTGAATTTGGTCTGTATCTTGACTTTCCGAACTTTTGTTTGGCTGTTGTTGATTGTTGTCTTCCTGTTCATCCTTTCTCGAATCTTGTCCAGGGTTTCCATAGAGATTCATTCCTTATTGTGATGCTTCCTACGTCACAAAACCTCCTGACACGTTGAAGTTGATGTTTCTTTGATCCCTTTCCAGTTGTCCTCAATAGTAGTTTCTTGTTCTTTCAGTAGATTCTATAAAGCTTGGAACCTGTTGTTGAGAGTTATTTTGAATTCCCTGAGCTTGTAAGTATCTCGAAGGAAGGCCTCATTGACCGTTTGAAATGCTGTTTCGCCAGTTGTTCAGTGCTTCTTTAGCTTCACTTTCATCTTGACAAACACCAGGTTGTGATCTGAAGATATGTCAACTCCACTCCTCGTTCTCACATCTTCCATTCTGATTCTGAATTTTTTGTTGATGTAAATATGATTTATCTGGTTCTCTGTGGTGTTGTCCGGCGAGATCCATGTAGCTTTGTGTGTGTTTGTGTGGAAATATTGTGCCACCTATAACCAATTTGTTGAATGCATATGGATTTGAAAATCTCTCAACATTATCGTTTCTCTCTCCCAGTCAGTTCTTGTCTTCCCATGATATCTTCATATCTGATGTTGTCTATTCTGACTATGGCATTCAAACCTCGCATCAGGATGGTGAGGTCATTTCTTCGGTACTTCAATATGATTGATCGTAGTCTCGAATAGAGCTGTTCTTTATTGTCATCGTTGCTATCATTTGTTGGTGCATATCATTGGATAATATTCGTTTTGATTTCCTCGTTCTTTGTTTTGAATGATGCTTTGATGATTGTGGATCCTTGAGATTCCCATCCAACAAGTGCATTTCGTGCTTCTGTGGACATCATTAGAGCTACTCCGTGATTGTGTGGAGCATTTACTTTTTCGTGACCAGAGTATAGTGGCATCTCTCCCATATCTAATCTTTGCTGCCCACCTTGAGTCTAATGGGTTTTGGTGATTCCGAGTAGTTTCAGTTTGTATCTCTTCATTTCGGTTGTTGTTTGACCGGTCTTCTCGGTCTCGCACATTGTGTGGATGTTCCATGTCACTATAAAAAATGTAGCTGTGATTGTTAGAAGTGGCATCGGCTTCGTGTGTTTCGAAGAATCTCTGCTTTCATCGTGAGGTATCATTATTCTTCTGAATGAATATGGTTTGATTTGTAAGTCAGAGTAGAAATAGTTTTGTTTGTTTGTTTTGTTTGGCGATTTTGTAGTGAGGTTGTTTTCTACGAGTTGTTGTTACTGACCCCATACTTAACCTTCCTCTTTTATTTTAACCGGGCTTGGAAACGGCAGTAACCATGAAAAGTCTGGAGATTTAGGTAAATCGAAATATAGTCTAAACAAATATATCAACAAAAAATGTTCCGATATGAACATAAATTATTTACATTATTTTGTGTTGATCGGTCGATTCATAGTGGGTCGATAATAAATAACCATTAAGTAATTAAACAGTACTTACTTCTTTTGAGACGTCTTATTTCATTCATTCCCTGATGAATAAATGGTTGTCAGCTCAGAGAAACGTGTATGGTCATCACTCTGATAAGATAATGATTTTACAGCTTTACAAACACACTCAAATATGAAAAGATTATTGAAAGTAAAAAGATTTTTAAATTACTGATTAGATGCTGATTCTTATTTCTATAAATTTATCAGCGTAGCTGAAGTTGTTCATGATACTTTACCGATATGAATTATCATAAATATACACGTTATTACGTTCTAAGCAAAAGAACGAAATCTGACTCTCCAGTCAACTGTTTACAAATTGAACTGAAGACAATAGTGGATGTGTCGCTCAATTTCGCGGATCGTTTGAAGTTAGACATTAACACCGTTGGATGCCGGATCAGTGCTTCCAGGTTTTCCATGGTGGTCTGGGTTCAATTGACTAATGATCTCAACTAGTGGAATGACTATAATATCCACCAACCCTCTTCTGAAGTTAAACATAAATACATTAAAAGATAATCAATCCTCCATTTTTATGAATACATTTGTAATCAAAATAATTTTCTCTTTTATCTTCTGTTCCAATATGACAATTGTTAAACAATAAGTTAATCTTATTAGGTTGTTAAAGATTCTGGACTGTAAGTAAAATTAGTACATAATATTGTAAGGGGTAAAAGTTGAACTGAGTACATTTTGTCTAGCTGAGTAATGTTTTTGGTTTATGAATATCATAGAATAAAGAATCCTAATGAATAAAACTCATTTTCTACTTATGAGCTGATTAGTATGCAAGATTGCATCAGTATGGAGCTCAACAAAGTAGCCTTGTGATGCTCAAAATGGTAGGTGGAGCCTAACATGGCCAAATGTAGATGGATATGCTTTGGTAACATATCACTCTACTTAGATCTTACCATAAATCGTAAGGCGTTATCTAAGTTGCATACATTAATGGACTTAGGACGAAAATACTCCTACAATTCATCCTTTACAGAACAGGTCTCGAAACTGATCTTCAAGTCCCACCATCATATGGGTGGCATAATTCATACACTCTATAACAACATGTCACACGTTTTGATGTATAAAGTATATATTCAACCAATCCCAGAATGCTGCAAGTTTATTCTTAGTAGTGTTCGCACAAAGGTTGGATTAAGGTTTGAATCCGTTTAGAGACGATTTACATTTCGCATTCTTGGAACTGACTGTGCCTTGAATTATAAGTTCAGATGTAAGAAACTTGAACCGGATCCTTTATAGAAGAGGCGAATCCAATTGAATCTAATAATTTTCCTCAAAGTACTTAATCAACTATCTTTTACATCGTGTGGAGTAATTCAATATGCGGAAACTCCTAGATACAGTATCCGTAATTCTCTGTCATTAGTGAAACAACCGAATTCCAAATCTTCTTTCTATATAAACTAATTTACCAGGAAATGTTTCAGACTCTGGAGTAGTTCACCACAATCTATCCATGAGATAAAATCACCATATACTTTGTCCGTTGCATTGTGTTATATCCTAGTGAAGATTAAAGTACGGGTAACTTCTGGGATCTATTAATGGACGAATATTCTATAAATATTCTTATTGTTTGACTATTCAGTATTTAGATTGTGTATATCTATATTCATCTTATTTTAAGCTTCATTTAGACCTATAGATTATTATCATACAATTTACTGTTCCTAAATTATTTTCAGTTTGTTGATTACTATCTCCCACGTTCACAGCCACATTCTGATTTGACCTTGTACAAATGTTATATCATATTTTATGGTATGATGCGGTCTGTTTGGCTGTTATATAATCAAGTATGCATGAAATAAGTGATTCGCATAACAGAAGCTGTTATTGGCTCAACTGCAAGGGGTAGGCGGATAAAGGAACAATAAGGATGCCAGGCTTCTCATACCGGTCGAAGGTCATTGGTTTGGCACAGTGCTAAGATTGGATAAGGCGTATTTCGATTGGCAAATAAATCATGTGATAACTAAGCGGGCTTGAATTCACAACACATTGATGCTTACTTCTCCACTGAAAATACTATAAGTATTCTCACACCTGTAAATGTGTCTTATTCCCCAAGTGAGATTATAGGAATTTCAAATGATTCAATGCTTTTGCTACTGAATCCAATACATAAACCTCCCAACCTGTTTTTACTTCACACTAACATCGTCCTTAAATAGTTTGAGTAATGTCTAACACGAACAGTATATTATAAAGTAGCCTGACATATGTATTGTGGTAGACCTGACTGACCTATTGTAGTTCTGTTATTCCGTGCTCTCTGTTTCTATCTTATTTTTTCTAGTTGTAGATAGTTACAATGAATTCGTTGTGGCACAGGTAATGACCAAAAATGCAACGTTTATACATCTACATGATGTCAACTTAAAAATTATTAAAAGTTCCAGGCTGATGCCTTTCACTGTTGTAATGTTAGTGAAAAATTTACTACCTAAACAATTTTTGAGCTA